TATATATATATACATATGTTTTTCATTTATGTGGCACGTGTGTGGGTGTGCACACTCCTGTGTGTTTGTGCATATGGTGACCCAAGGCTGATGTCAGCAATCACCCTCAATAGTTCATCCACCTTATTCATTGAGGCAGGGTCTTTCAGTCAAACCCAGAGCTTGCTCCCAAATATAGCTTAGCTTGCGAACCAGCTTGTTCTAAGGATTCCTTTTCTCTGTCTTTTGAGGCTAGAATTATGGGTGGGCCACCATGCCCACTTGGCATTTATATGGGTTTCTGGGGCTTTGAAGTTCAGGCAGCAAGCACTTCAACCACTAAGCCATCTCCCCAGGCCCAAGAACTGCCTTTAGTAAGAGTCAGTTAAGCAATACATCTATGCGTCCCTTTTATTTGCTTTTCTTACATGAAGAGATCTCTTTCTCTTGATCATCTTTAAAAATGTATGAGCATTCTGTTAAGCTCATCTACCAAATCTCCCTTAATTTTTCTAGATCCCACAAGGCTTCTAAATCACTAGGCAAATTGCTTTTGAGTATTATCCTTGCTAGCAAATAAGTTTTAAACTATTTCTCCAAATTCTGTGTCACTTTTAGTGTGTTATTTTTCCTTTTTTCCAGAGACTTTGTTCTCCTGTTCTACACATCCAGGTAACCCTTCTGTCATTCCACCTTTGAAATCAGAATATTTTCTTAAAATGGTTTGGTTCTTCTCTAATGAGTCCTCCCACTTGAACTGAAATAAAGCCTATAACCTGTTTCGCAGATCACCCATAACTTCCCTTCAAGCATTACAGTTCTTTCATTAGCACTAACACCATTCTAGCACAAAGACAGGATGGTAAAATAGCACTATAATATTCAGAAATGTCTTAAGTGCTAGTTCTTTTCTGAAAGATGTCAAAATTCCTAATATGATATTCTTTCCTTTAGACAGTCCTTTGAGAAAGTGGCAGAGAGGACAAGGACAGCTGATGGGATCGCTGGTCTGGCAAGAGCCATGGAGTTGTGTTCTTGAATGAGGATGGAGCCACTTCAAGATCTACAATGACAGCAGGTTTCAGGAGCAGCAACAAGGTCTGGGTGAAGTTCAAGAAGGCAGGAAGTGTCAAGATGGGTGCTCAAGGTGGTCAGAACAGGGAGAACTGAGCTAGGGGAGCTAAGCCCCAAGCTTCAATACTTTCTTGGTGGCCATGGAGCTGCCAAGCCAGGCTTGGCATTAGAGACAACTAAGCAAAGAGTTCTTGAAGACTGTGCCTCCTCACCCAGGAGCCTATGTCTGATCACCTGCAATGCCTTATGGCTGCCACTATGAATGAGGTTGGAGCCACTTTTTACTGTATTTCTGGTCCTCATTTAACTGCACTCACAGTCTGCGCCAACATCACTATCAATAGCACTACCACACTGCATTGGTAAGAGGGTGTTTTTGAAATGGGAATAAGTCATTTAAACCTGGAGTTCAGCACTTCAGCTTCAAGCATCATATTTCCTTCTATTCCCCTTCATTAGCATTGTTAATAATGAAAACAGCAAGTAGCTGGTCATTCCGGATTTAGAATGAGAGGCACTAAAGAGATTAAATGAATAACAGAACCAACAGTTGTTTCCATTCTTTCTCTATTCAGCCGGTCCGCAGGGATTTATTTTAGACAAAAAGACCTTATTTGATACCATGATGCCCAATGCCTTAGGAAGGATAAAACAGTGAAATGGGGCAGTGTTTGCTCCCTTAAAATTAGTGTGAATAAGAGTAAAGTGCAAAATGGAGAGGCTTTGGATTTGGTCTACTGCCAAGGGCTATTTTACTTCCATAACCAAATTATTTCAATGCCTCTTTCTCCTCACCTGTACAACAGAAATAAGATTGAGTTCTAAGAATTACTGTGACAAGAGAGAAGTTATGTGAATAAGCCTGTTACATAATAGGTATATACTTTCTCATAATTTATTATGACACAGAGAATTAAGTACTCTTGGCTAGAGGTCAAATAGGATCAGTAGCTGACTTTTCTCTTCGGGCTAGGTAGTAGAAATGAAAATGTCTGGACTCTTTTGTTATGGACAAAAATAGAGAAAGATCAGATTGGTTCAACTGTCCTTCTGAAACACCTAGAAGACCCCATAGTAGATCCTTTAGGTCAAGTGAATGCTTTAATAGAGAAAGATTTTAATTCTAGAATTCGATCATTTAGATAGTGAATCAGCATATATTATGCAAAAATAAATTCTGGACCAATTTAATAGTATTTCTAAAACTTAATCAATCTGTTAAAAGATTAGTTTCAGAATAAGGTGAAACACAACTCTAACACAAAGACAACAATGAACAAGTAGGACTAAGGACATAGCTCATTGGATAAGGTGGTTGCCTAACATGTACAA